TTAGTATATATATATATATATATATATTCCTCGAGATTTAGTTAGTCGCTTTGAAATGAATGTGTGTAGATTCCTGTAAAGTCATGTTGGATAACTCATGCTTTGTGTCTTCCACTGTCACACATCGTCATATTAAAAACGACGTCACAACTCAGGCAACAGAAACAGGTGAACTCTAATTCACATGCCCCTTGTCTAGCCAAGTCCCGAAAGGCAACTTTATCATTCACATCTATTTGAGAATATTCGAGAAAGTTTAGGGGAGATCACTCCTGGTTTATTTAGTTTATTTTTTATCTTTCGTATACAGTGTATAGAGGTAGTATTGTAATCGTGCACAAAAAATCACATGAAACTATGACAGTGTTCACAGTTGTACACCTCAGTAGGCCTACTTCATCACACACGGAGTATAGGGGATTTATTTTTAATCGGTCAAAAATTCCAAATCAAGGTTTATCAAAAGTTTGGCGTTTTATGTGTATTCGAGTCAGAAAAACTGGGTTTTGTAATTCTGTCCGTGTGTATGTGTATGTGTATATGTGTCTGTAAACACGATAAATTGAGTACCGTTACATCTAGCAAGATGAAACTTCTTATACAAGTATTACATCAAAGTTGTAGTTCTATATTAACTTTTTAGCGATTTCCGATAACCGGAAGTGGAAGTTATTCAACTTTTAGTTTTTTAAAAGCCTATAACATGAGTAGTGTTTCAGATAGATAATTGAAATTTCACATATAAGTAAAACATATCATTTTCTGCCGTCTGTCAAGTTTTGTGTAATTTCCGTTGACCGGAAGTAGTAATTTACGCTATTTCCGATGTCTCAATAAAACGAAAATGAATTTATAAAGTACTAATAATATTTCACACAATTATACACATTTGTTTACCATTCACTTGATGCGCAATTCTTTTTTTCTACGACATTCTATTTTAAAAAGTTTAAGTAATTAAAAATTTGATTAAATATCATGTCTAATATCCCGCGTTGCCATCCCCCGTAGTGTTATAAAAGAATATTCGAGAAAGTTTAGAGTTAGATTGTAGTGAATTTATTATTTCTTTTTAATATAAATAGTTCCACTAATAATCTTTTGTTTCTATCGTTTTTATCTAAATTATGGTTAGGATTTAACCACCATTGGTTAAGCCATGATTAGCCATGGGGGTAGAGTTAGGCATTTACTTAGGGGTTTGAGATACCCCGTCCACTGTCAGGACTTACATATGTTATTTTTTCTTATGTTTGTATGTGTGATCAGTCCGCTTAATACTTGCAGAACTGACAAAGAACGTTAATAGTATGTAATTTACTAAGTTTTATAAGCGAGGTCAATCAAAAACATATTTATTATTTTAGGAAGAGCACGCGTTAAGTACACTGGGGACAAAATTCTGGTTTATACATACAATATTAATCTTGATTATAAGCAACAAACGAAATACTGATAGGAAAATGTGTACAATCGTTGATAATAGATAAATTTGTGCCCTCCTTATCAGCCCCTTTATCGGTCTCTTTCAAAGAGCTACGGCTTTATCACTTTTTTTTACTATAATTTTGAGATAAACCTAGTCGTAGCTTTGAAGCTCCCATTTGGCATCTAGGTGAGGTTTTAATTTTTATTTCAAATACATAAAAACAACGTCACTAACCGACCTGTCACTTCCAACATCTAGGCCTAACATTCAAAACACGTTATATCCTACCTAATTAATGATTTCGAACTATGCAAATAGCGGACCAGTAGGTCTATACATGGGTGGGTGGGTGGGTGGGTGGATGGATAAGATTTAGAAACATTTTCTTTACATTTTAATGAATTGGTCAACTTGATATAGATTTATATTTCTCTTGTCAAAATATGTTCTTATAATTTTTTGATAAAGTAGCTTGATAAAAACGTGTATATTGTCCATAAAATTCACTAAAGGGATTTGTTCAATTTATAAACATATCTTAATTGGCCAATCTCACACCTGTGATTTGAAATCACATTCTAATTAAATAACCTTTACATTTTTTGCATAGCTTAAGTGACTTGTAATAACCTATTTATTTTCGCTTGTATTAGTAATAATATTTGCATTTATTAATATGACTTATAGAACTGGATATAGATATTATATTTAAACATTTATTTCATTGTAGTGATTTTTTTTCAGTAATTTTTTTAGTCAGTGTTTTTAATATTTTATTGTTACCTTAGGAACTAAAATAATGTTTGAAGCTTATTACTGTTCATTTATTTGTAAACATATGTTCAGATATTTTGCATTTTTTTATCAATGAATCGGTATCTGTAAAAAGAAATTACTTATATTGTTTTAGATTTTTTGTGTGGTCAGATGATACCTAATTTTCTTTATACTAAAATAACTATGAACCCATTTTTAAATACAAAATGTGTGTATTCCTTAAGATTTATAATAAAAACATTTAAAATATTATTTTTTAAACTTTCATTGTGTATAAGTAAACATATTTTCTTCTGAATGGGATGTATGAAATCTTTATATTCGTACACACATCTTAGCCCAAATTATGGATTACCCGAAACCACATAAAGATAAATGGGATACATCTTTGAGCAGGGAACTTTCTGCTTCTGAAAACTGTTTTACAATTGAAACGTAGAGGAGTACCATTAATAACATATTAAGTAACAATTATAATATAATGTTTTTACTCGACGCCAAGTAACATTGTACAAGCTAAACATCTCATGAGATGGTCAATGAACCTGTACTGTGGGAAATAAAGGTTAGAATCTTGGCGTATGTATTTTTTAGAAGTTTTTCATTTGAATACAAATGTAAGGTAATTTACTTTCTTGGTTATCTAATAAAAATTTTGTGGGTAACGAATAAAAATGTATATTTCAAAATTGAAAACAAATAGATTATGTGGTAGCCTTCGTGCCTACTATTATTACCGTATTTGAATAAATTGAAATTGAAATTGAAATAACTTTTGTTGTGGAATGAACGTTGAAATATTTTAAATTTAATTATGATTTTTTTCTACATTCTATTATTTTACATCAGAAGGGAGAAAACTATTGTTTACCAGCAACACCATAAAAGTGGCAGTTAGTTTTTCTACACATGCTATTGCAATATTTTTAAAAAAATCATTTTATAAGTAATACAAAGTTCAAAATTGAACTTAATATTTTAATAACAAGCATACGCACTGATAACAAAATGTATTCCTTTTTAATAAGAAATAAATCAATTTACAAGTTTCAAAAAAAGGTTATAATAGTTTTTAAATACTTTCTTGTAATAATACTTTGATGCAAGTTTATTAGATTCAATTACAAAACCGTTATTTAAGAAATCATTTTCTTACTAGTAATGAAATGATAATTATATTGAGGTGCTAATTACAAATTTAAAAAACGTTAACTATTAGGTAATTTACAATTTGTTAAAAGTGCTATTTGAGAGAAATAATGGTTTTACCAAATTATGTAAACGGAAGTAAATCTACATATTAAACTTTTTAACAAATCTTTCATTGTGGGTTGCAAGACACTTCTTTTAAATCCTACATTTAGGCTACACAATAAAAACTCCAACCTATGATTATGGGGTTGAAACGAGCCAGAAAATGGATATAAAATCTAAGTAAACGTGTGGATGTTAAGTCTAAGTAAACGTGTGGATGTTAGGTCTAAGTAAACGTGTGGATGTTAGGTCTAGGTAAACGTGTGGATGTAAGGTCTAACTAAACGTGTGGATGTTAGGTCTAAGTAAACGTGTGGATGTTAGGTCTAAGTAAACGTGTGGATGTTAGGTCTAGGTAAACGTGTGGATGTAAGGTCTAACTAAACGTGTGGATGTTAGGTCTAAGTAAACGTGTGGATGTTAGGTCTAAGTAAACGTGTGGATGTTAGGTCTGAATAACGTGTGGATGTTAGGTCTAAGTAAACGTGTGGATGTTAGGTCTAAGTAAACGTGTGGATGTTAGGTCTAAGTAAACGTGTGGATGTTAGGTCTAGGTAAACGTGTGGATGTTAGGTCTAGGTAAACGTGTGGATGTTAGGTCTAAGTAAACGTGTGGATGTTAGGTCTAAGTAAACGTGTGGATGTTAGGTCTAAGTAAATGTGTGGATGTTAGGTCTAGGTAAACGTGTGGATGTTAGGTCTAAGTAAACGTGTGGATGTTAGGTCTAAGTAAACTTGTGGATGTTAGGTCTAAGTAAACGTGTGGATGTTAGGTCTAAGTAAACGTGTGGATGTTAGGTCTAAGTAAACGTGTGGATGTTAGGTCTAGGTAAACGTGTGGATGTTAGGTCTAAGTAAACGTGTGGATGTTAGGTCTAAGTAAACGTGTTGATGTTAGGTCTAAGTAAACGTGTGGATGTTAGATCCAAAAACACTTTTGACGGAGTTCCATCACACTGCTTACAACATGAACACCATCATCACATAAACATTATTGGGGTCGTGGGGGCACCACCGCAGACTTTATAATTGTCCTCTGTACATTTCGGTCCACTACAGCTCTGTACTGACACGGGCAGCCCAGTCCAGTCCTTGATGTCTTCCATCCAGTGACGACTTTGCCTTCCCCTTCTCCTTCTTGGCACTTGCAATATTCTTTTGCATAGTAATTGAACGTTTAATGTTGTAACATGTAACCAAATCAATTCTCTTGTTTTGATTATGCTCAGTAGACTCTCTGTGTATTATAGACGCCCAAAGCGACCAATCACATTAGTGGACCTTTCCTGGATTTTTCTAATAAGGTATGTGATCTGTGTACTAGATCCCGAGGAGTCGTGGAGGTATCCCATTTTCAGGGCGTGGAATATATATTTCCTATTACAGACATCTAAACCTATTTATCCCAGATTGGGAACCTGCTTGTCCTTTGTATAGCGTAATTTAAACAATAAACTTCATAATAAAAGTAAATTACAAGAAAAACATAAAAGATTTCAGTCTAAGTGAAAAAAAAAACAATAAAGGTTGTAAGGCCAACACCGTTTAATAGCTTATTTAATTTCAACGGGAGAGAGAAAAATGTAAAGTGTGCAACTAAAACGTGATTAAATTGGAAGCTTTAACAGAGTACTCTGAAAAAATGGGATCAACACTAGCTCAAAATAATTAGGATGACCCTAGAACCAAACTCAGTAGAAAATAGGAGCATTCCTACCATCAGAATGTGAAGAAAAATGGGATGATCACTAGAACTACAAGAATCCACGAGTATCCTGTTGAATAAAAAAAATAAACGTTATAAACAGCTATATATGCACATTGATATTTGTTTGTAAATGAAAAAGTGCTATTTTCATGTAGTTTAATTTATTCAAAGTTTTTGTTTAGCATTCTCGGTTAGTGTGTGTGTGTGCGTGTGTGTGTGTGCGTGTGTGTGTGCGAGTCCGTGCATGCATGTGCGTGCGCGTCCACAAATTCTGGGATATTAATTTAATCTTTTTCCAATTGTCGGATTGTTGTTTTTCAATCTGCAGTCTTTACAGCTAATATTTAATTACATTTTTTAAAATCTTTACCTTTTAAATGACTTGTTTGCTGCTCATTGGTCGAGTAACTTATAGTTAGAGTCCCGCTTAAGTTGTAGCACATGACGTGGCGTGTGTTCGGCATTCTGATCTCCACCGTGTTATCCTCGGGATTTAAACCTACAAAAGGTTTTTAAAAGTTATTCACACAATATGTGTCCTTATGAGTTTTGTTAAAGTGAAAGTTACAGTTATGGTAACCACATCCATGGTTGTTAGTTTTCGGCATTTAGTTAAAGTAAGAATTGTAGGTATATTGTAGGTCAGTCTGCAACGATTTCCCGGAAGAGATGCCAAAGTCGATATTTTTCCCTAAAGCTATATGGTAAAAATTTTGTTTGTGCAAGCTAAGCAGTCTTCCATTTATGAAGTCCACTAAAAAATGACCTTTGGAACTCCTCTCGACTCCCTGTCCATAAGGACAGGGAGTCGAGAGGGGTAGGACGAGGGGTTTTGTAGGACGATATGGTTAAAGTAAAGTTTCCCTTTTCAAACCTGACAGTCTATGGGGCAAGTGAAGTAGAGTTCACTTGTTTCTGTGACTTCGGCATATGAAGAGATAGTGTGGTCAGCACTATGCCCAGCCGCCTTTACTTTCCCTAACGTGAGTTAGGTACCCATCAGAGTTGTGTGGACTCAGAGACGATCTACTGACTTGAAACCGGATTCGAAATCGAGACTTAGGGGTTAGCAGTCCAGCTCTCTACCGCTAAACCACTCCGTCCCATGGTTAACAACAAATTAACCCCCCCCCCCATCTCAAGATATACGAGCTATTAAAAGCACTAAATGTGTTTGGGCCTTATTTTTGTGTCAAAGCATCTTAGATTAGAGATGTAGTAGAAATACCATGCAAACGAAACAGGATTTGATTACTAAGAAAGGAATTAATTTAATTTAAAATAAAATAGACAGGTTAAAATAAATAAATGAATAAAGAATAAATGGTTCTGGTGCCCATTTATATATATATATATATATATATATATATATATATATATATATATATGTGTGTGTGTGTGTAGCCTATATATTTTACGGACAAATGATCTAAAGAAGAAAGACATCAGGATAAAATATATCATGACAAATGATATAATAGACTAATGATCTTAGACTAATTATCTCAGACAAAATATCTCACAGCAAATTATTTATAGTATTTAGGATGATTTTAGTAGATGTAACATTTTTTAAAATTGAATGTCATGTGGATTTTATTTACCTTTTTATTTACACATTATTGTGAGATATAATAAATGAATTTGTCGAACTTAATAAACAAAGCATCAAAAGACAAAGTAAACTTATCTTTAAAAAAAAAAAGCATTTATATTAGACAGAAAAATTGCATAAAACAAATACAATGATGATATCCTTAACCACATTATTGTCGAAACACGTGAAACAGTTGTTTTTTTTTAAAAAGGACGTTCGGGTCTACAGGTTTGTAATGTGATATCGGTTTTAAAAGCATCATCAACGTTAACTTTTTTCTTGTCTAGCTGTTGTTAAAAGTGCAGATGCCCCTCTGCGATATATAAAACAGGTAATCGCTGAGTAATCACCACTCCTATGTTGGTGGACACGATGAATAACATTGCTAAGACATTTACGCGCGATCGCTAAAGTGTGGCCGGAGAATAATTAATTATTAAACTTAAGTTGCTGGCTGTATTGTCCACGTAGGGCGGGTGTCTTTGCCTTTCCTGCCGATCCGCCAACAAAGCGAGCCACCACCTTGCAACGAAGGTGTGTTTTCATGGCTACAGGACATTACCACCTCCCGTCAATCCCCCCCGGACATTCTCCCCCCCCCCCCCCATATTCCCCCCCCCCCCTCCGAGCAATAATACCTCTGTCAATTACCCCCTGTCAATTACCCCCCCCCCTATGTAATTACGCCACCCCCAAACTATATATATATATATATATATATATATATATATATATATATATATATATATATATATATATATATATATATATATATATATACATAACAAAATCTAAATGTACAAACATGAATAAAGTTTAAAATTAGCAACATAATTATACATTTTTGAATTTTTATTTTCTGAAAAAAGAAAAACAAAAGGAAAACTTACAAACATTCAAAAATACATACAACAAAATCTAAATGAACTTACATGAATAAAATTTAAAAAAAAATAGACAACATAAAATTGTACATTTCTGAATTAGATAATGGATGAAAACTTACAGACATTTACATTTGAAAATTGTAAGCTATCCCTCTTAAATAGTCCATGTGATTTCTGTTGGCAAAGTCCTTAACGATGTTAAAAATACGAGAATCGCTGTTACGATATTTAATTCATGGTGGTTCTACTGGATGTCCGCTAAGCCGCTGACCGATGACCACTTTGTGAAAACCTTGCTCGCGTTTGAGATTATTGATGAAGTGCTGGATATCAGGATGGTCAGCAGCAACTGCAGCTTGCATTTAACGGTGCCAACCCGTTGCGAGGTAACTTAATTTCCACCCTGTGGTGTATGTTCCAGATGTGAGGCTTATAAAGGGGAACAGCTCGGCCTCGATTTCTTACTCTTCCAATGTAATTATCCTCAAAATAATCCAGCAGTTGTAGCATTTCATTGGTATTTTCCGTATGTTCTCGAAGTTCTTCAAACACATCTACAACATCTGCTATTGGCACAAAAGCCAAAGCACCTATCATCCTTACCATGACGGCATAATCTGCTTCATCCACGTAAAACGTAAAACAATCCGGCTTTGTCTGAGAAAATTTGTCTGAGATATTTGTCCTGAGATCCTTTGTCATGGAACCATATATATATATATATATATATATATATATATATATATATATATATATATATATATATATATATAGTTAAATAGATATAATTTACAGGGGTCCCAACAAATTTTTTTTTAGCAACTGCTATGTTTATTACCCATGTTGCAGCGCTCAAATTCGCCATTCTCTTGATATTTTCTCCAGATGGTCAAAGACTCGCGGCCGAAGTATTTTCTACAATAATCATCAGTCACCCCATCAGCGGCACAGCTCAAAGTCCACGTCCTATCACTGTAATTTATTTAGACATTTCTGCTGAACGGCATTTAACAGTCAAACGCTTCACAACAAAATTCCTTAAAAACTAACCCACCGTGTCACTGAAAATCATCGTAGCCATTTAATAACAAATGCGTTTTTTCGCAAATCATTTTCTAGTCAACCGATTAAATTTGATAAATGAAATTGGTATCAAATTAAAATTAAATAAAGGAGTATTTAACTGTAAAGTCATCTTGAACAATAATGAAGTTTAAAATCTTAGGCGACACCCTAATCCTATAACCCTATAACCGGTGGCTTTCTAGAGCGCACCGAGACGCACTAGATAAATGGACGCACGCCGAAGTGTGCCTACCAGTGTTTCTTCCAGACTTTTTTCTCCGAGGGTGCACTTGAAATTTTCGGAGAGGGCGGGCGGTAGACTTTCTTCGGGGGGGGGGGGGGCGGACACTGTTAAAAGTATATATTCTCTATATAAATTATATAAATTTCATTTTGTTGGGGGGGAGGCGGGGGAGGCGGTAGAAATTTTTCGGGGGGGGGGGCTTTGCCAAAGCCCCCCCCCCCCCCCGAAGTGATGCCTGGAAGAAACTCTGCACCCTATAACCCTATAACCGGTGGCTTTCTAGAGCGCACCGAGACGCACTAGACACATGGACGCACGCCGAAGTGTGCCTACCTCACTATTACTGAGGTTGACTCAAGAATTCCATACAGCACCCAATGAACAAACCAGCGCCATTACAACTCAGATCCCAATGAATATAGCGCATGCCTTCCTTACATTAAAATAACTCAATTTTACAAAACAATGCCCCGCGTTTAAAAAACACAACTGGTAACGCATGGATGTAAGCTGTTAAAAGGATTGCATAAGCAAGCAGTAGCGTGTGGGACGGGATGGCTAGTAGGAATATAAATCAACGGATGAGTTGTTTTTTTTTTAATTAAATTTAGTTGTATATAATTCAGTAATACAATTACGCAAATGTGGTTTTTAAATTTATTTTCCTATTTATTTTGACGGCTAAGCGCCTCTCCCATGTAGCGCCTACAGTCGATTCGGTAACCAATATGTCGGACATTACTTTACATGTTGTTTTAGTTATATTTAGGGATTGTTCTTACCTACAAAGGAGAATAGGCTTATCCGCTTCAAAGCATGGTACAATATATCCGCAGCGAGGTGTTTCTAAAAGAAAAGAAAAGAAGACAGTTTACAGTATGATAAACATTACTACATTGAAATTTATATTTAAAAAATAGTTACTTACAGTTAATACAAAAAACAACGACATGTATATACAGTACCATGAATGTATGGGTTCCTCGATACAGTTTTATTAAATGCTAATTAAGATATAATAAATTATAAAAACCTTCATAACTATAAGCTTTTAAAAGCACTGCGAAAAAATAAAAGATTTACTTGGTTGTAAGATTTCTCACATATTTCGTCGACCAAAACTTTTATTAAAGGAAGCAAGTTTGTTTTATTTTAAATCTTACTGTTTTTTTTTAAAGTGAAAAATAAACATGTATACAAATTCTTCATTCCAGTAAGTCGTTCTAGACAAAGTTGACACTTCCCAGGCTACGGCTATAAATATGTGCTTTAAAACCTGATTAGTAGCTTGCAACCTGTTAAAGAGAGTTATCTGCCTTTTGTGATTTCGTGAACAAAGTTCAGGCAAGAAATCAATCAGCCGTGACATTTCAGCCATCTGATCGAGTGATCGATAAATTGTCTTGTTACCTCCTCATAGTTTCCAAATCTTATAATTTTTAATGAATGATTTAGCACTTTATTAAATTTAAAATAAAGCTGGAGTGATCTCATCTAAACTTTCTCGTAATTTACATTTTTTTAAAATATATCAGAATAGTATAGAAAAAAATAATTGCACGTCAAATGAATGTAAACAATGCGTGTATAATAATGAAGACAATGATTGCTTTATAATTACTAGCTGGTCTTGGTCGATCAATGTACGTTTCGTAGCATGGTACGAGGTCTAATCTGGTTTGATCAAAACAAAATCCTAATTCACATTTAGGGTCCAAATCTGGGAAATATTTTTAAGAATTGCTTATTGATTTTAGATAGAAAATTTTTAGATATGTTGTGCATGTTTGTATATTAATAGCATGTAAAACTAAATTATATCATATCTAACATAATATATATATATATATATATATATATATATATATATATATATATATATATATATATATATATATAATTACGAACGTCCGCCCAGATATCGCTTCTCCCCAACTCGCGTCGTCATCCAAACCGCCGCCGAACGACACATTTTCCCGGCCGGTAACAGTATCCACAACTATGTTATGCTTAACAGTATCCACAACTATATTATACTTAACAGTATCCACAACTATATTATACTTAACAGTATCCACAACTATTTTATAAATAACAGTATCCACAACTATGTTATACTTAACAGTATCCACAACTATTTTATACATAACAGTATCCACAACTATTTTATACTTAACAGTATCCACAACTATTTTATACTTAACAGTATCCTCAACTATGTTATACTTAACAGTATCCACAACTATTTTATACTTAACAGTATCCTCAACTATTTTATACTTAACAGTATCCTCAACTATTTTATACTTAACAGTATCCTCAACTATTTTATACTTAACAGTATCCTCAACTATGTAATACTTAACAGTATCCACAACTATTTTATACTTAACAGTATCCTCAACTATTTTATACTTAACAGTATCTACAACTATTTTATACTTAACAGTATCCTCAACTATTTTATACTTAACAGTATCCTCAACTATGTTATACTTAACAGTATCCACAACTATTTTATACTTAACAGTATCCTCAACTATTTTATACTTAACAGTATCCTCAACTATTTTATACTTAACAGTATCCTCAACTATTTTATACTTAACAGTATCCTCAACTATGTAATACTTAACAGTATCCACAACTATTTTATACTTAACAGTATCCACAACGAGCGAACTCTCCGCCATTCTGTAGTGTCGACAACACACTTTGAGCCAACCAGAGTCTACCTTTGTTACATGGGTTGCTTTGTATGATTCGGTGAGCGCATTTGGCGAACTCAAAACTTTCCCTAAAGCACAAATGGAGATTTAGATATTCATCATTTTATATTGAAGTGTATGTGATATAAAAAATTATACACGCAGGTACAGAAACATATACAGATGTACGTCAACCCTGAAGGTGACTACTTTAACGCTTATACAAAAACCTAGATAGCTAGGTAAAACCATAGAATATATATATATATATATATATATATATATATATATATATATATATATATATATATATATATATATATATACATATATACATATATATATATACATATATATATATATATATATATATATATATATATATATATATATATATATATATACATATAAACATATACATATAAATATATATTATAGTGTATCATTGTATTTATATAATATATTAGAAAAATTATTACCAGCACAGCATTATATATATATATATATATATATATATATATATATATATATATATATATATATATATATATATATATATATATATATATATATATATATTATATATATATATATATATATATATATATATGTGTGTGTATATCATTGTATTTATATAATATATTAGAAAAATTATTACCAGCACAGCATTTTAGACATAGTTCCCAGTGGCAGACATTGCATATTAATGTTCGTACCACATGTGGTTGTTTCGACTGGTTTCGTTGTAGTTCTTTCCGTTACTGGTTTAGCTGTAGTTCTTTCCGTTACTGGTTTAACTGTAGTTCTTTCCGTTACTCGTTTCGTTGTAGTTCTTTCCGTTACTGGTTTAGCTGTAGTTCTTTCCGTTACTAGTTTAGTCGTAGTTCTTTCCGTTAGTGGTTTAACTGTAGTTCCTTCCGTTTTTGGAATAACTGTAACACACTGTTAACTTTTGTATATTTCTTTACGTAAAACAGTTTGTAAACAAACATATAAACAAAAATATCCTAAAGAAAAACAGTCTATAATACCACATTTTACTCACACATTTCAGGCCGATTGTGATCTGTTAAACAAAGAAAAAAAAAGATTTGTTGAATAGTCGCCAGGAAAAAAACCACAGCATTTTAAAAACATACATTTACACACACAACTACAAACTCGCACTTAAGCACACACACATACACACACACATAGAGATGCCTGGAAGAAACTATATATATATATATATATATATATATATATTTATATATATATATATATATATATATATATATATATATATATATACAGTTTCTTCCAGGCATCTCTTATCTGCCTTTTCTTATTTCGTGATCAACGTGTAGGCAAAAATTCAACCACAGAGTTTCTTCCAGGCATTTCTTCGGGCTTTGCGCACCCCCCCCCCCCCCCCCGAAGAATGTCCCGTCCCCCCCCTTCCCGAACAAAATGGAATTTATATAGAAAATATATACTTTTAACAGTGTCCCACCCCCCCCCCCCACCCCCGCCCCGGAAATTTTAGTCCGCCCCATCCTAATATTTCAAGTGTCCCCCCATACATACACTGCATGTATGAATGTATGTATGTGTGTGTATGTGTGTGTGTGTTTACCTTTATGCGCATCGTCTCTTGTGTTTATTGCTTCTGTGAAATATAAAATAAAATAAAGTTAATCGTGCGAATGTTGGAATATACCCGTGTTTTCTGACAGCGTGTCTTGTAAAGGTTTGTTTAGTGCGTTCTTTTATTGTTCCTTTCACCGCACTTACGAAAGAGACCTATTAGGTAAGGTGGCGCTCAAGATTTTAAACTTGATCATTTTTCAAGATGACTTAATTAAAAACTACATTTATTTACCTTTTCATTGATATCAATTTAATTATCAAAATAAATCGGTAGCCTAGAAAATGATTTGTGAAATTAGATTCTAGCTCCATGTATAAATACTGCTATAACGTAAGAATCTAGCCTACTCTGTTTATTTAATCTTACCGTGAAGAATAGAAGCAATTATAATACACCTGAAAAAGACAGTCAGAGTGTTCATCTTACAAGAATAATGCAAGTCTACAAATGTATTGAGAGATTTTTAAAGACGGCTAAATGGAAAGCGAAGACATATTTGAAATTAAAGGAAACCTATTCGCACATCCGTGCGCACCATACCTTTTTCTTTTTTCATCACTTTGAAAAAATTTGGTGTGCACAGAACCTATGAATAAAACACAATAAACACAAATAGTAATATCTTGCTTTAAAAAGAATGAACTCACAAGTGACAATTCTTCTTCTTCTTCGTTCTTAATTTTTACTGTTGGGAGGTATCGAGCCTTATCAGCCAGAGGGTTTGAACTCGAGACTTTTTCGAATGTATCAGCCAAAAGCTTTTTGCCGACTCGACCACGCCCCCATCACGATTAATGATACGTGTCAACTGTTTATGCGTCATTGAGGTCATTGACTCCGACTTCTGCGTGCTGGACTCACAATAACAAATGTGAATATTTAAAATAACTTTTGTTAAAAGTAAAATGAACACAAAACAATATTGTGCAATAGGATTGAAAGTCTATGTAATCATACTAAAATTTTTTTTAAATATCTTCAAAGACATATGGCAAGCCATACAATTATATTTTAGCCGTAGAAAACCCTTAAATTTTTATATTATCAATTCAAATATTTAATAATAGACCTTAACCACTCCTTGGAGTAAACCGGATTGGCCAGAGAGTAATGCAATGAATGTCACATCAATTGTTTTCCATGATAAAATACACTATAGCGGTCGATGGGGTGTAGCCAAGTAGTTTAGAAATAATATAACAACCCTTATCACCACCAGTGCCGGTGCCAGGTTATTTAGCGCCCTAGGAAAAACTTATTAAAATCGCCCCCCTCCGCAATTTTTTTCGGGGACAAACTTTCGATTTGCATCCCCCCCCCCTCAAACATTCAATTTGTTTTTCCAACCCATTTTGGCGCCCCCCTATTGACTGCGCCCTAGGCGACCACCTAGTTCACCTTATAGGTAGCGCCGGCCCTGATCACAACTACACACTGACTCTACCAATCCAAAGTAAAAACAAAAGTGTTAGGTAAACTACTATTATATTACTGGTAATTATTTGAATATTTCTAGCCTTAGTAAAACAGGAAGTCATTTTGTACTTGTTTCTCAAATTTTATAAAATATTCGATTATGGTTGAAAAATATGATTTCTGGCAACAACCCTTTGGAACCAGCTTGGCGTGGCCTAGCGGTGGAGTGCTAGACTGCTAATCCGATAGTTTCTAGTTCGAATCCGGGTTCAAGTTAGCGGAACGTCCCCCCAACTCTGATGGGTACTTAACTCACGTTAGGGAAAGTAAACGCCGCAGTGCATAGTGCTGGCCACATTTTCCCTTTATATACCGAGGTCAAGAAATATGAACTCCACTTCACCTGCCCAACGGATCGTTAGTTCTAAAGAGGAATCTTTACTTTACAAACCTATTTTGTGCATTGACATCAAACAGGATAGACTCTCTGATTTTTACTTTGTTGTGTGAAGGAGCTGTTGTAATATAGTGAGAAAAAAAAAGTAGAATACGAGATCGACAAATCTCAACGTTTCAAATCTTCCGGAGTCTGAAAGAGTTAGTTTTGCAATCTCGGCTGTGTGTATGTGTGTTTATGAACAAAGCAATTTAAGTATTCTTTCAATTTCAGTAATATAGCGGAAATTTCAATATTCATTATCGTATTTTCTACTTAGCGCTTTTCCATAAACGGAAATGGTACTTACCCTACCGGTTTCTCAAATGCCCATAACCAAAGTAGCGCCGACTGTTCCAATTAGAATAAGAGATTGTATTTTGCAGGTTTCTAGATTTCTATCGACGTTTGAACGATTTGTAATATTCGTCAGTGGTGCTTTACTCTATTCCCATAGGAAAACCATAACTAGAGTACTGTTTCAGTTAGAGGAAATTTTTCATATTCATATTGTGGTTTAGAAAAAAAATAATAATCTTATACTTAGAATAGATTACATAGATTTCTGCATCAGATATCCGGAAGTGGTATTTCACTCAATTTCCGGTTTCTAAATACCGATAACTTAAGTACAGTTTCATTTAAGTGGACGACCTTTAATTTGTATGTTTAAGATCTTATGCGCTGGTTTCTATCACACTTAGAGTGATTTCTTGACATTAAAATGGGGTAGTTTGCTCTACTTTCTTGTGAACATGAGTTCCGTTTCGGATAGGTGGGTGCAATCAGGGGCGTAGCGAGGGGGGGGGGGGCGGGGGGGTGTGGACCGCACCGGGTGACACCATTTAGGGGGGTGACACCAAGGCAAAAAATAGCAAAATATATAGAGAAAAACTTGAGGGGGGTGCAAATCGAAAGTTTGAGGGGAGGGGGGGTGCAAATCGAAAACTTGAGGGGATGGGGTGCAAATTGAAAGTTTGAGGGGCGGTGCAAATCGAAAATGTGAAAGTTTGTCCCCGGGAAGAGTCGCTACGCCTCTGGGGGGGGGGGTGACACCATTAAGTGCCGCACCGGGTGACACCCGACCTCGCTACGCCACTGGGTACAATATTAGGGACAATTATGAGCTTCTGTAAGTGTACGTAGATTTTTAAATATTTTTTTTGAGCTATTTCCTATATTTTAGTATTTACTCTTCTCGCGATTCATGAAAATCCTTAGAATTCGAAAATTGTATACGATCATTTATAAAGCACTTTCCGCCTATATGTTTTCTCGAAATGCTAGCGGTTTATTAAACTTCTATATTTCTACTAGTAGCGTAGCGAGGGGGGGGGGCGGGCGGGGGAAGGGGGGACATATGTCCCCGGGCGCTGACCTTAGGGGGCGCCAAAATGGGTTGGAAAAATAAATTGAAAGGTTGAGGGGGTGCATTTTGAAAGTTTGAGGGGGGGGGGGGGGGTGCAAATCGAAATCTCGAAAGGGGGGGGGGGGTGCAAATCGAAAAGTTTGTCACCGGGCGCTGGGAAGGGTCGCTACGCCTCTGATTTCTACAGCTCCTGTGTCCACTGGGAATCCCGCCAGGGGCCGATTAAGATAAAACGAGCCGACCCGATGCGTATCATACGCCGCTATTTAGTTGTTTTTTTTCTACTTTTCAGTAATTTATAATTTGTGAATTCGATAGTACCAATTTGCTTAAAAACACTAAACCCCCCTTCAGTACCCCCCCCCCCCCCCGTGAAAGCAGCCTCCTCTTAGTTACCTCCTCTAAGTTTAAAATCGTTTCAAACTAAATTATCTGCCCCTAATAGCCGTCACCAAACCCGTCTCTATGATTGTAAAATGTAAACAGCGTGAACCACAGCTCACCAGGCCATGTGAGGGGGTGGGGGGTGGGGGGGTGGTAGCGATAGAGAGGAAGAGAGGGGACTGAAAGGCGCGCTTGCAGCTTGTTTTCTAAAGGCTCCCAGAAGAGAATTATATATATACGAGCCGACCCGCTGCGTATCATACGCCGCTATTTAGTTGTTTTTTTTTCTACTTTTCAGTAATTTATAATTTGTGAATTCGACAGTACCAATGCTGCCACTGAAAATATTTGCTTAAAAAAACACTAACCCCCCCCCCCCCCCCCCCCACGTGAAAGCAGCCTCCTCTTAGTTACCTCCTCTAAGTTTAAAATCGTTTCAAACTAAATTATCTGCCCCTAATAGCCGTCACAAAACCCATCTCTATGATTGTAAAATGTAAACAGCGTGAACCACAGCTCACCAGACCTTTTGAAGGGGTGGGGGGTGGGGGAGGTAGCGATAGAGAGGAAGAGAGGGGGCTGTAAGGCGCGCTTGCAGCTTGTTTTCTAACGGCTCGAAGAAGAGAATTATATATATAGATATAGATAGATGCTTTTGGGCCCCTATATGGGAACAGGGCATTTCCCCCCTGTCAATTACCCCCCGGATATTCCCCCCCCCCCCCGACATTACCCCCCAGAGTAATTACCCCCCCTGTCAATTACCCCCCTGTCAATTACCCCCCGCCCAGTAGGACAATACCCCCCCCGGACAGGGTTAGAGTTAGGGTTAGGGTTAGGTTTAGGGTTAGGTTTAGGGTTAGGGTTAGTGTTAGGTTTAGGGTTAGGGTTAGTGTTAAGGTTAGGGTTAGGGTTAGGTTTAGGGTTAGGTTATAGGGTTAGGGTTAGGATTAGGATTAGGGTTAGGGCAAGGATTAGGGTTAGGGTTAGGGCTAGGGTAAGGGTTAGGGTTAGGGCTAGGGTTAGGGCTAGAGTTAGGGTTAGAGCTAGTGTTAGGGTTAGGTCTAGCTTTGGTTTTGTGTGAAGTTTTAGGCTAAGGTGGATGCTTAGGTTTAGGTCTTTTTCTTAATGTTTGGATTAAAGTAGTATATAGGTATAAAATTCTAGTTAGAGTTAGGATTTTAACTTGAGAGGGGGGGGGGGGGTAATTCCCCGGGGGGGGGGGGGGGGTAATTGACAGGGGGGTAATTGCTCCGGGGGGTAAATACTGGGGGGAAATGTCCGGGGGGGGAAATATCCAGGGGGGTAATGTCCTGTAGCCCCCTATATACATACCCTCTCTCTCTCTCTCTCTCTCTCTCTCTCTATATATATATATATATATATATATATATATATATATATATATATATATATATATATATATATATATATATATATATATAAATGAGTGGGGGGGGGGATTTGGCTAGTGCGTTTTGTGATCCGATATCTTCTTTACTTCTGAAGGTTGGATAAAACACGCAAACATTTTTAGTAGCCCATCGTATCTAAATTCTATACCGTATCGCATTCTTTAAACTTGTGTATGATCCCTTGCCGGGGCGTCGGATGACGCGCCTGGTTCGATTTAATCCACGATTATTGTAGTCCACCGTGTCCAGCCTTTTTGTTCAGAACGACTGTAAGCACCATAGTGGTCACCGGGCTATTCAACCGCCGGGGCGCCAGAGGATACGCTTGGTGCATTTTTACTGTAGAAATCAACTGATACCAAGTGCTAAGTTAACCGCTTGGGAACTCAATGCAAACAGCATCTGCCTGTTATTTTTATTTACCTTATGTAGTGAAAAATCGCACCCTGCCGGGGCGTCGCCCCTCCAAAATGGAATTTTATCGCAGACACTTTCCCGAGAGTATTCCCGATAACATCTCAAAGCTTTATGGAGATCAGAGGAAATAATAAGGAATGAATAAAGGACAGACACACATACGCTAAATTTATATATATATATATATATATATATATATATATATATATATATATATATATATATATATATATATATAAGCAGCACCCTATACGGCACGCCGGAAGATACTCATGATTTGATTTAGTGAGATGACAAAAATAACCCACTAAACACAAGACACACATTCTAGAAAAATAAACATACTCAGAACCCAAAGACAATAGTATTTTACCTAAAGTGAATCTTTATAATACTTTTATTCTTTCACATCACATTGAGTGGCATGCAGCCTACCTAGCGCAGCTCTATGACTAGATATAAAGCAATTTATAACAGACATGAAGCAATGTAACTTTCTTCCATACAATGAAGCAAATAAGCCCATAAATAAATGACTTCACAACATGTTCATAAATTACAGTACACCTATATAAAAATAGTGTAATTTTTATATTCAAGTTTTCTATTCTGTGGCTAGACTTGACAACAAAATGCTAATAATAAATTACATCAAATAAAAATAGTGTTCACTTCCCACATGAACATCTACAGTTACGCAATTTAACATTCAATAAAGAGATTTATTCTTACTTTCTTTTTCTTCATTCTTAATTCTAATGGTGGAGGGATTCCCTTCAACACAATTAATTAAGTATATGTGTCTGATGATTCTAATAGGCAGTTACTCTGATTTCAGCCTGCTTTTTTTTTGTATTTGCTTCCATAGCCTTTGTCCAACCAAGAACAAACTACAAGGCATCAGTTGTTTGATTTGGAGTTGTCTCTCCTAGAAGAGTGGCTGTCCCCAGCTGCCGAGCCTCATCTGACCGAGGGTTCGAACTCGGGACTTTTTGGTTGAGCAACCGCGAGGTAAACTGACTCGACTACACCAACATCTTTTATCCTTATTAAACTACATGTTATATTAGCAATTTTAAAAAAATAGTGTCAGTAATTTAAAAGTGTAAATTCAACATAAAACCGATATAAATATTACACATAAAAAATTTAGTTTAATTTTATACATTTAATCACAGTAATGTCCCTTCATCACAGTTTTTTAAAATACTTTTTGCACAGAATAATTGTGGAGTGGGTGTAGAAATTTCATTTAAGTACTCAACATTGTTAAGAAAATTTAAAGAACAATGCTATCTTAATTTATTTTGTCTTTTAAGTTGACACTCAGGCTTTTAATTTTCTTATTGAAAAAAAATCTTATAATATAAAAATAAACAATTTCATTAGCATTGAATTTCAGTGTTTTTACAGTAAAATGGCAGAGTTTTTATGATCCTGAAATTGTATTTAGGATAAAACTTAAGTCACAGGTGTTTTCAAATAACTAAATGATTTTGTTTTAGAATGACTTAGTTGCATAATGACTCATAACATCACACCTGGGAGGTTTGAAGTTGTTAAGTACATTGGAATGAAGCTAACAATTGACAACATAATTTTTGTGCTGCTTTCAGAAACCAAACCTTAGGTTTGCTAGAATCATTAAAAGCTCACGCATTAGACTGATCCTCCAAAATCAAGTGGCTTAACACCCTCAGAGCTTAGTTCCTTTGTCAGATTACACATTTCCATCTAAAAAAAACATTTCCACTATTGGAGATGGATTATCCACACAATCAATAAGCCTGCATCCAGCACAACAAGACAGACCCTCACCTGGAATCCACAGGTCAAAATAAAATAATCTTGACCAAGGAAGACTAGGGAAAACACACTGGAAGAAGACACTAAGAAGCTTGGATACACCTGAGGACAGTAGGAGAGACTGGACCAGGTAAGAGATGCATAGAAAGCCCTTGTGTGACAGGCTAACCCAGGGGTCGGCAACCTGTGGCTCGCGAGCCGCATGTGGCTCTTTTGATATCAAGATGCGGCTCTCCAGCTCCTTGAACAAATACTAATAATCTTAATAAAAAAATAAAATATTTGACATAAAAAATTTTTTAGTGGCTCTTTAAAATCAGGGAAATTTTGAAAATTGTAACTTTTGGCTCTTCCGCTTCAAAAGGTTGCCGACCCCTGGGCTAACCTAATCTGACCCTAGAATCAAGTAGTTTTGTAGCAGAAGAGAAAGTCATCTTGTTACTTTGGCAGCAGCACAGATGACTCCACTGTGAATTTCAGTCTTTTTCTTTCAACTTCAAAGACTGTGTATCACATCCATGGAACTTATCAGAGGGGTGGACATCCTTTCTTTTCCTTCTTCGTTCTTAATTTTTGAGTGTTGGGAGGGATCGAGCCTTATCTGCCAGAGGGTTTGAACTCGAGACTTTGTTCGAATTTATCAACCATGAGCTTTGCCGACTCGACCATGCTCCCATCACAATTGAGAATTACGTGTCAACTGGTTATGCGCCATTGAGGCCATTGACTCTGATTTCAGCCTGCTTTTCTTTTTGGATTTGCTTCCATAGCCTTTGCTTTCCATAGCCATAACCAACTACAAGGCAGCAATTGTTTGATTTTGGAGTTGTCTCTCCTAGAAGAGTAGCTGTCCCCAGCTAACGAGCCTCATCTGCCAGAGGGTTCGAACTCGAGACTTTTCGGTTTAGCAACCATGAGCTTTACCGACTCGACCACGCCGACCGCTGAGGTGGACATCAACACCCCTGTAATAGATGGTTGGACAAACCCCCCCTGTACCAAATGCTACCTCTAGACAAGAACTGAGGGACAACTGAGAGCACTCAAACAAGTTCCATAAAACATCTTGACAAAATCCTAACTATACATATAGCTATAATACACCCCAAATTATTTTGTTTTAGATGGTAGTGTTGAGAAATTGCAATGAAATATTAAGCAAAGAATGTTTAAAATAATTTTCACTTATCAAAACTTTAACTGGAAAATTTTTCTCAAAATAAATTAATAAATAATGATACCCTTAAAAAAGTGGCATCTCTTAAGTTTCTGTACATTTGTTTTTTTTAAATCTATTACAATGAAGCGCTTGTAGTTTTGAATAAAATGCATTCCATGAACTACACAACTATTTAAAACAACACATAGGTATCACAACAAAGGGAGAAAATCCTGTTTCATATCAGCGAAATTTTTTTATCAGAATCACGTCATAGTTTTAGCTTGCGGTTTGTTCATTTCCGCTTTGCTGTTCTCTAATGTAAATACCTTGGTGACGACGAGCGAGTGAATGGGATGATAGCTTGTGGCTTCTTCTTTTCCACTTTGCTGTTCTCTAATGTAAATACCTTGGTGACGATGAGCGAGTGAATGGGATGATAGCTTGTGGCTTCTTCATTTCCACTTTGCTGTTCTCTAATGTGAATTCATTGGTGACGCTTGAGTGATGATGAGTGAGTGAATTGCAATATAGTTTTAGCTTGTGGCTTCTTCATTTCCACTTTGCTGTTCTCTTGTGTGAATCCCCTGGTGTCGCTTGAGTGAGGATGAGTGGGCGAATGGCTTATCACAGACATCACACTTGTACGGCTTCTCACCCGTGTGGGTCCTCTCATGTAACGTCATGTCCGACTTTGTGCGGAAGTTCTTGAAACAAAATTCACAAGTGTATGGCTTCTCACCGGAATGCTGCATGCGATGGCGCTTCAACGTGGCCTGGTTAGTGAATCTTTTATCACAACCATCACAGGGGAAAGGTTTTTCTCCCGTATGCAGCCTCGTATGACAAAGCAAAAGAAAATTTGACCTAAAACCCCGACTACAGTATTCACATTTGTATGGGGTTTCACCAGTGTGTCTCATTTTGTGATCGTTTAAATGAGTTTTTCTCGAGAATAGTTTACCACAAATATCACACACGTGTGGTTTTTCACCGGTATGCTTCCGTTTATGAACGCGCAGGTCAGCTTTTCTGGTGAAGTTTCGACCACAGTCCTCACAGTTAAATGGTTTTTCACCAGTATGTATTCGTATGTGGGCATCCATGTCGTATTTATGATTTGCAGTGGTCCCACAGACATCACATTTGTAAGGTTTATCACCAGTGTGTATTCTCCTATGCATGGCCATTTCGGACTTCGAATACCAAAGCTTACCACAGATGTCACACTCAACTGTATTGAAACAGCTGTGCTTTTTGAAGTAACTGTTCTTTGCAAAAGACTTTCCACAGAGTTCACAGTTAAATGGTTTCTCATCCGTATGGATTAATTTGTGATTACTTAAGTTATATTTGTTTGAAAAGTGCTTGCCACATGAATCACAATCTAGTGTGAGGCCTAAATCATCTTGAAAACTGTCGCTTTCGGGTTTGATTTCACATGACGTAAAATTTACTTGTAGACCGTTATGATTTTTTTTATCTGTGTTGTCATAAAGCATGTCTTCAGCTGATGAATTGTCATCACCATCTTCATTCTCCTCATGCTTCTGTGGCATGGATAAGTCCATGGGCATGAGGTTTTGATTGGAATCTTCACAATGTAAAGCGTTCTTCAGGCTCTGCTCTAAATGTTTCTGTAAGATCTCTCTTCTGCAGTTTGTAGAAAAAATTTGTGGGGAACTGGGACAGATTGTATTACCCCCATCGGAATGTTCAATTTCAACATTGATAATTCTCAAATCCAGTGGGGTCGGTTTAATGTCGTTTGCTTTATAAATGTCATCTCCAATAAAAGCTTTCATTGCTAAGTTATTAGGTAATCTAGTGAACTGACATCTGGATTCATTATCTGCTCCTTCTTCATTTGGTTCTGCTTTTATATCATTTGGAGAAACAAGCTCTTGTTTGAGGGCTGGTTGAGAATCACATGAAGCAGGCTCTTGGATTTTTTCTCTAGGGGACAACTGTTTGATGGCTGGTTGAGAATCACATGAAGCAGACTCTTTGAGTACAGAACTTATCTCTGAGAATTTGGAGTGCTGTGACATCCTGTTGCTACTGTACAGAAAAATTTGGTGTTCTGAAATGAAGTGAGAATGGGATAATTTGTGCTACAAAATTCCTTATTTCAATGGATATGGATACTAAACAAATGTAGTTAAATTAGCAGCCATTTTCAGGCTTTAAAGTGATGGAAAACATACATTTGGAAAGCATACTACATTACTTTATTTTAAAGTACAGGTAATTAAATTAAAACAATTTTTATTCAGCCAGAAAAATAAATTTTAAAAAAGGTCTTATGTTTTAATAATGGTGTAATAGATTTTTCAATCTTATCTACTTTATTGATTACTTGTTGAGGAAGAATTAAAAGATACAGACAAAATATCTCATGTTGGTTTGATTATGTTACTTATACTATTTCCTCAGGCCCTAAGTAAAATCCATATAAAGCTATTCCTAGCCTAGTAAGCACAAAGTATTAGTAAAAATAAGTTAAGTGACCATTTCCGACATGGCAATCAATGGGGAAGATGAAGTAGAGTTCACATGTTTTTGAGGCCTCTGCATATGAAATTGAAAAAATAAGTTCTATGCCCGGCTTCATTTACAATTTAATATTCAATTTCTCTAATGTGAGTCAGGTAGCCATCAGACATGCTCTACAACCAAACTATGCCACCCTGGTTAAGCCGAATAGAGTCTAGCTATGCCAGCTTAAGAAGCTGTATTTTCAAATTAATTATAATTTAAATTTAATAAAATCCCAGTAGTTTTTCAGTTCAAAAACAGGGCCAATAAAATGAATTGGGCCCAGCCCTACAGATTTTCTATAGCTGAGTAATCATTAATGGCCTAAATAAATATTTAACTCATTTCTTAGTTAATAATTAGAATTTTTTAGTGAGGTAAGCAAATCTAACATTAAAATCTCAGTTTAATTTTATTAGAGTAGTTGTTGAGTATTTAGTAGACTTGAGAAGACAGAGACTAGATCTAGATCTAGATTTTCTAGATCTAGAAGTACTATAACTGTATACCGTATAACAATAACAACTAGATCTAGATCTAGATCTAGGAATTCTAATCTAGGTCTAGGTCTAGGAACTCTAACTCTAGGGCAGGCCTAATATAATCTTAGTTCTACGCTAAGGCTAAGCCAAGCAAATTATAATTGATACAAATATTTTTAAAAATCATAATTCAAATTATAAATTTTAATTAGATCTAGATTTCTAGATCTAGATATCTAGGGAGATCTAGCTCTAGATTAGATCACCAGTAACTTAAGTATTATAAGTAAATCTACCTCTGCAACATTTTTAAATGACCCGGAAATGACCTTTCTTAAACTATTTTTTAGGAACAAATTTATTGTTTAATTTTTTTAAAAAGGAAAGAGACTGGTAAAAGCGCTCGGAATTTTTTATTTCGTCCGGGGGGGGGAGGGGACTCTAACACACCATACCACACAACACCAATATTTCTAATTCTAATGTGTGTGAAGATATTTAAATAGGCGACAATATGCCTACCACAAAAAATACCCCCTTCCCCTTCTAACAGCTGTTTGTTTCGTAAATAAAATAATGTAGATCTAATTTCAGGTTTTAAGTAAATTTAACCGCCATGTTGGTTTTCTCTGAAAAAAGAGTTAGGCCTATTAAAAAAATAATTACTCAAGACCTAATCTAGATTTTCTAGAGCTAGGCTAGTACCTTCTAGAGATCTAGAAATCTAGACTAAATCTAGATTTAGATAAAGTCTAGAATATTAGAACGCTAGAGTAGATGACATGACACCTCAGCCCATAGCGCCCCATTAAAACAGCAGTTTAAAGTTTTTAGTTTAATGTTTTCTAAAACATCGATTACTTTCTAAAAAAAAAAAATTCTCATTATTCTCAATATTCTGAGCTGCACACAGAGCTCGTCAGTCTAAAAATCTAAATTAATAAATAGAAACTAGATTATCTAGAATCTAGAAAAAAAACCTAGACTAGTCCTTAGATGACAGATCTAGAGTAGGCAGTTAACATGGTAAAAGTAAAATTTTACATTTTTAGTCTTAAGTCATGCTTTGTTTTGGTATTTAGTATTTTAGTTAGGCCTACTTATTACTTAATGAGTGACTAATTAATTATATAGGCCTACTTACTATTCTATTATACTAATATTAGGCCTACATTTAGCCTACATTAAACTACATTGATATCTAGTGATCTAGATCTAGATGATTAAGAATAAAAAAAATTTGGAGAATTTTTATACTACTGGTGTCCGTTAATGGAATCTTCTTTAAAAAAGGGGAGTTAGGTTACTGGTAGTTAATTAAATTAAAACTAAATAGGCCTACTAAAAAAAGTCACAGGAAAATTGTTGAGAATTGTAAAATTTTGGGTGTTTAGTAATGTGTGGTGTTGTTTTTAGCATTTTTATTATAAATGATAAAAGCATTGTCGTTTATAACACTAATAAGTAAAAATATTGTAACCTAATTAACACAGCAACCACAACTTTTGTAATGAATTTAGTTAAATATGCTCTAGAAATGTTAATTATAAAAGAATTTGTGGCATGTTTTGCATGTTTATTTTTTTGCCAATCCTTGGTCGGCTTCTCCTCAGTCGGCCTTGTCTGTCCATATTGTGTGTTGTTGATGCTTTGCGCAATGACAGCCTTTGTACCATGTCGGGTTTCCGCTTTGATACTTTCCTTTGTTATATATATGTAATGAGCGTGATAAATGTGGACAGTACAGGTGGTTGACCTATTGTTGCAATGAGTAGAGGGCAACAAGTCACATTAACTACGTCTTAATGCCTTTTCGCGCTAATTTAAAGTTAGTATTTAACAAATACTATGAAAAGGAGAAGGTTGGAACATTTTATTAAAATCTATTAGCCTAAATATTGTATGTATAAAGGAATTAAAACGTAAATAATTCACACTAAATATTTACCTGTGTTATTAATTTAACTATATGCATACAACCTACGCACATTTCATTATATTATTATTTAATTAATCTAAGTAAGTTGATTTGCACTTCCTGAATAAATTATTACATAAAAGTATTAACAAAATTCATCGCAAATTTGTTACTTTTATCCTATGACTTTTTTTCCTACAATCATCCTTAACGGCTAACCCCAACCCCAATCTGGGTCCTACCATACCTAATTTCTAACCATAAAATTAGTCGAGATTACAATACTACTAACAACCAAACAACCTATTATATCGAAGAGTCTATTATCGGACATCGATACCTAAATTCATCCAAATTTTTTTTACTTCTTTTCTAGATCTAGAAATCTTGTGAGTTAGTCTTGCTAAATCTAGATCCAAAGCTTTAATCTAGTACTAGCTAGATTGTAATGAAATAGAAATATGTAATAATATAGGCCTAGGCCTTATAATAAGTTAATAGATCTACTACTACTAGATCTAGGCTTAGTTAATAAAGACTAGGGCTATTTTCATCAGAAGCAACCAAGCTCATTTACTTTAGCAGCCATCTGATCTTGTTTTTTTTTGGTAACATTTTAATTTAGCTATAGATTCAGGGGAAACTACTCTAATTTACAGATAGCTACCTTTTATATAGCAAATCTTGCGTGCAAACACTGCTGTTAAAAGTTACTTTCTGGCCTATTTTGATATTTTATTATTCAGTTGTCTATTATATTATTTTTGGTTTATTATTCAATTGTCTATTATATTTAACACAAATATATCACAATATACTTGTATTAAAGCCATAACAATGAGGCAACTTTCGTTCACATTTCTAGCCTCGGCAGATTTTCACCAAATGATAATAATAAAAAAAAACTACTATTGCTATTACTTAACACGGATTTTAATACAGCTATTCTCAGTCGACTGGGAATAGACACTTCATTAATAATTAATATATTGTGATATATTTGTGTCAAATACAATAGGCCTAGATAATTTAATAATAAACCAAGCGTAATGCCTATAGGCTAGAAATTAGCTTTAAACAGCCGGAGCAGTGTTAAAGAGCAAGATTTGCTATATAATTAATATAAAAGGAGCCCTTCTATAAATGAGAGTATTTTCCACAAAAATTTCAAACTATTATTTACCAAAGCATTGCTAATCTTTATTTCTAAGGCCTCCTGAAAAGTTTTAATAAAATTGTTTAAAAATAGGTACATGAAAAATTTAATAAATCCTCATCAATTTGCAAAATAATTACTAAAATTTAATCATTAGTTTAATAATTCACCTTTCTTTAACATTACTAACTTTGGCTGATTTTACATACTAAAATGTTAGATTACAGTATAATGCAACTATAGACCTACTAGGCCTATTAATTATTGTTTTAGTTTTTAACTAATAAATGAGTTTGATCAACAGTTGTTAATTTCAAATCTGTTCATGGTCATAGTCATCAGTGTTTATTACAGACTTTTTTCTCTGTGGGGCATTTGAAATTTTTGGGGGGGGGGGGGGGGGACACTGTTAAAAGTATGTTTTCTATATAAATTTCATTTTGTTCGTTGGGGGGGGGTAGATAAATAGGCCTAAAAATAACAGTATTAACAGTAGCCTAATAGTATTAAATAGACCTACCTAAATTTCTTACCTAAGTTCTAAATGTTGTAGCCTTGTCATTAGTCAGATACGGCAGTGAATAGTCTCAAAATGGTTTATAAATATTTATAAAATCGGGTGCAATATTATTAAAATATATTAGGTTATAAAAACCTGATTGATTAATTTTTCGACAGAATCTATTTAAGATTAATTTATTTAATGTTATAGTATTTTCCATAATTAAACACAATTTTAAAAAATGGAAATCGGAATATAAACAATTTGGTTGTTTACATTCTCTGTATATTTAGTATTATTAAGGCCCTATATTTTAAATATATTGAAATATTAAATAACTTTGTCATCTTTTTTTCAGAGTACAGAATAAGCTGTTACAAAATGTGCAACATTCCAGAAAAATCAGTTGTGAAGATTTCTTGATTCCCATTTCGTCAGAAGCAGTCTGTCATTTCACCTTCAGTGTGTGATGGATCAAAACATTCACCCTCTCTCAAACGTAGGCATTCTACTCCCCATAAAATCTGAACCAGGCACTATCTTTGCTGATAAAAGTATAGCCACCTTGTCAACATCTCCAGATTCCTCCTCCACAAGAAGTACACTACCCATCTGCAATAACACCTCTAAGATCAGCACCTTGCCATTTTTTGGTGACAGTTTAACGCATTTAACCAAGCCGTCGTCTAGTCAAATTCTTACAGAGCATGTAGGCCAAAACCTTGTACAGGAAGGGCATAGAATTTTTTTGCTCAACGGTGGGGAGATTAGTTTTCTTCCTTTTGACGACAGCTTACAGTGCCACGATGGTCAGGAGATCAGTGTGGTACAGCTTGATGGGCCGCTAGATAACAAATGGAGCCAAGAAATATTCTGTGATTCCCCAAACAAAAATGATCCGCTCGATGACTCTGGTATCCACCATAAAGCAGAACAAGTGGGTTACGCATCACAAACTTCACGTGAACTAAGCAATAGCTACCTAAATATTAAAACAACTCTATCCGACTCTGAAAATGTAATAGAGGAAGAAAGACCTTTTAAGTGTGATGTTTGTAGGTATCATTTCTCCAATAAATCCGATTTAAAACGGCACTCTGCAGTACATTTGTCTGTGAAACCCTTCAGCTGTGAATTCTGCGGGAAGGGCTTCTCAAGGAAAGACAAACTCAACACGCATTTAAAAATGCACACTGGGGTAAAACCTTACAAATGTGATATATGTGGAAAAGCTTTTATCACAAAATCCCGTTTGAATGCACATTTGAAGATACATGTGAAGGATAAAAGAGTGAGTTGTAAACAATGTGGGAAGCACTTTTCAACTAGGATAAAGTTGAGGAAACACATGCGAAAGCACGCAAAGGTTAAAAAATTTAAATGTAACAAGTGTGTTCAGGTGTTTATCAGTGGTGACAAGCTTGTTGAGCATTATAAAAGTCACAGTGCAGAAAGTTTAAACAATTGTGGTGTCTGCTGCCAGTCATTTCCCACTAGACATCATCTGGTCATGCACAAAAAGACACATGTGAAAAACAATCCGTATGAGTATATAACATGGGAAAAGGATATCATAAGTGTAAAACAAAATCATAAATCAGCCTTGAGTGTAAAAATTGTAAAAAAAGAACCTGGGGCCTACTCTGAATGTATTCATGCTGAAAATGACAATAAGCAGCCGAGATCAAAAAGGAGGTACCAATGTGATATGTGTGATATGACAGGATTTAAAACCAAATTTAGGCTGAAAGAACATATAAAATTCCATGTGGAGGAAAAGCCCTTTCACTGTGAGAGCTGCGACAAATACTTCACCAGCAAGTGTCAGATAAATAGACACAATTATTTAACTCACGCGGATAGAAAGCCTCACTGTTGTGATATATGTGGAGACAGTTTTAAATTCTTACCAGAGTTAAAGCGGCATTTGCGGATACATGGCGGAGAGACGTCATATAAATGTGATATATGTGAGAAACTGTACGCAGAGTTGCACCAGTTAAATAAGCACCGTAAGAAGCACTTTATGGTGATACCCCACCGGTGTCGAGTCTGTGATAAGGAGTTTGAGGATAAGAATGACTATGAGGTTCATAAACTGGAACATAAATCCAGTAAAAGCTACCAGTGTGAGGTGTGCGGAGTTCTCTTCTCGTTTTTAGGGGCCTTAACCAAGCACAAACTGCTGCACACTGGGGAACATCCATTCAGATGTAACGTCTGCGACAAATCTTTCAAATACAAATACGGGCTGAAGCGCCACGAAGAAAAACATTGCGGGGACACTGCCAAGCCGTACGTTCCTAAATCCAACGGTCAAAAACTTTTCCAGTGTGATTCCTGCCCCCGAGTTTTTAAACACAAAACAGACTACATCAGGCATAACATGAACCACACTGGGGAGAAACCGTTCAAGTGTGACTTGTGCGAGAAAAGCTATGCCCGGAGAGATAAGTTAATAGTCCACAAGCGAACTCATACTGGAGAAAAGACGCACCAGTGCGACATCTGCGGCAAGTTGTTCTACCACAAGCACCATGTTTTAAAGCACAAGCAGACGCACAACAGGCCTAACTTGAACCTGGGGACTGATCTTACAGTCACTTATGATAATAGTGACCAGGTTATAGTCCTTGAGGGCATAGATTTGACAGATTTTGATCCTCAGTTTATTGGATAATCTGGGCATTATCAGATGCCTTTTGGTACTATTAGCATAAATCTAAAGTGCTGTAGGAAATGAAAACTCAGTTAATTTAACAACCATGTAATAGAATTTGGAAAACCAACAATAATGTTTATACTGAATGTTGTATAAATAATTTTTTCTCGTTAAATTATTTTATGATTCTCTTAAACAAATTTAACTTATTTATTAATGGTGAGCTTTCTGTGTCGTAAAACAATTTTAATGTTACATCCCACTAATAGACCTATTATATTTATACTTTTATATTTTTCTGATTGTATTTTTCTGTGAAATTGATTTTATGAAAGCAATTTCTAACTCTTACATACAATTTGTTCAATTTAATTTTTTTAAATTAAATATTGTAATAAATTAGAATGACTATAATATTAAAGCATCACATTATGGGTTGTCCATAAATGATGTCACAATGCAAGAGGTGGAGGTGTTCATACACTTTTGATGTCCTGTGGCTGGTCACAGAGAGGAAGGGGTCATGACAGTGAGTCATAGTATTGGGAGGGGAGGGGGGGGGCTTTATATGATATGGTGGTTGGAGCATACAACTATCAGAGTGTAGAATATGGGCAACTAGGAGGCCCCCAAATCCTATTTTCTACTATTTATTATTTATATTGTAAAAACTTTAGTCTATCAAAGGTTACAATCTTTTTTCTTAACATTTTAGGGGGGGGGGGGGCAGTGCTACCTTTTAAAGAAGTATTAGTATAACTGTATCATATTACAATCAAATAATCAACGATTCACATTGTGATAGTCCTGTGAGGGTTGTATTTTTCTGCTTCACTCAACACTTGTGAAAATGTTTCTTTCTTTATAATACAAAAATATAGATAATAGTGTATTTTAAGAAATTTAAGAAATTAGTACATTATGATTAACATAACAAAGTTACATACATCCACCAGCTTAACTTAAACTTCTTCTGCACTTTGATGTACTAAGCTTGGTAATTTTTTGTCAGTATGTGCCAAGCCACTGTGATGACCATCTAATGATGGGTTCAAATCCAGTCTGGTTGGAGGTGATTTTGTGCCCTTGAACAAATAGATAATTATAATGTCATATAGTGGTCATTTAAAAAAAAAATCATTCACTTTGTTTAACATAATAAAAACTATGTTAAAAAGAATATTTTTTGTCAATAAAATTTAATTTATGAGCGCTAGAAAAGAAAATTATGGCTATATTAAGAGAATATTAAGAGAATTGGTGTATACGATTTGGAGAGGGGGAGGGGTTACTAGTATTTAGAGTATATTAAGTTTACTATCAAAATTTTATTATGGGCATTCAACAAATAACATATGAGGTAGTAAGTTGTCCATTAAAGCTGTAATTACAATTTATTGTTTACAAAAAAAAAATATTTTTTTTAAAACCAATTTAAAGAGAATTGTCAACATTGTATTTTTTTTTACACTTGAATGTCTTTATGTAGGTTTTCATGGAATGATTCTTGTAAAATGTATTTTCTTTGGTGCTGCACAGTGCTTACATGTTACATAGATTTCTTGTTTATGCCTGATGTGCTGCTATCATATTTACAAATTCGAGCCACTGGAAGTTGATGTTTTTTCTCTCTCTCAGGCAGGTTAATAGAATGTAGAGTGTTTTAACTAATAGCTGGTGTTGGCAGCCATTTCAGGGGAGAGGGCAGTTTTATAAATGTTAAAATTATTAGGGAATTTCTCTCATGTTTTCTTTAACTGTAGGATGTGACGATATAGTAGGGTATTACACTAAAACTACTATGAGGTATATTTTATAATGTAAAAATATTGGGAATGTACTCTGGAACTGTAATGTAATGGACTATAATGTAAAAATAATTCAGGGCATTGTACTGTGTTGCAGGATTTAAATTATTACGTAAAAATATTTAGGGATCCAACATTAAAAATATTCAATGAATTGTATTGAACTGCAGGATTTTATTTATTATATAAAAGTATTCAGTTCACTTTGAATATGAAGAAAGTTTGATTTTTTTTAAGTTAAAATATTCAATGAATCGAACTATTGTACAAGATTAATTTTATCATGTAAAAATATTTTCCATATCGCTCTTAAAGATATATTATAGAGAGACAACTCCAAAATCAAACAACTGCTGCCTTGTGGTTTGTTCTTGGTTGGACAAAGGCTATGGAAGCAAATCCAAAACAGAAAAGTTGGTTGAAATCGGAGTCAATGGCTTCAATAACCAATTGACACGTATACTTAATTGTGTTGGAGGGATCCCTTCCAACACTAAGATTAAGAACGAAGAAGAAGACACTGGAATATTTGAAATGGAATAAACGAAAATATATTTAGAGAGTTTAATTGAGAACTTTTATAAAATTAAAATAATTAAAGTAGGCATAGAGCTATGCACAATCTCTGTTTAAGAAATAAAAGAACTCGTCATCTACTGTATGGGCAGTGAAATCTAAAAAGGGTGCATAACTTTACAGAAATAAGCCATTGTCTAAAATTGTTTACATTTCATTTGCAACTTTGTTTAAAACTAATGAGACCAAACCCATTCAGTAAATTAAGCACAAGCAGTACCTGACTTCTGATTACTAAGGTTGCCAAACACTGGATTATAATTATAGTTTCATATTACCAGTTCAAAGATGCAATAAATTTTGAAATTATTTGAAAATATTTTTTTGTCATTTTATCGTTGGTTTTGATGTTATTAAAAAAAACTGGGATAAAAAAGTTTTGAAAAATGTTGCTGTGTTTAAATGAAACCAAAGCAACACTTATCTAATGTTTAGTTTTTATATTTTATACATATATTAGATTTTTTTTTTCCCAAAGGGAGATAATGTGTACAGAGAAGACTTCACCAACAAACTGGTAGGTTTACTACTGCTAGACAGTTTGTAGACTAGCTATGTAGTGTTGCAACCCCTTTCCCCTGGATACAAAGGAAAAAAATTCTTACAACTCCACCCCCCTCCCCAGAAATTTCATCACACTCCCTTTCAATGTCTTCTTCTGGAGTGTTGAGTGTATAAGTATATTATTGTATGAAGGTTGAAAGTGTAGATTCAACACATCAGACAAGCTTGAATTGTGCCTCTGTTTATATTTTTACATACATTCAGAGAATGTTTTTTTATTATATGAGCAAGTATATTCTCACCGGTAGGTTCTAACTCTTAATACCATCTGTCTGATGCTTATGTCCTACATCCTTAATTTTAGTGTTTAAAGGGATCCCCTCCAATACAATTAAGTATACGTGTCAACTGGTTATGCGCCATTGATGCCGTTGACTCCGATTTCAGCCTGCTTTTCTATTTGGATTTGCTTCCATAGCCTTTGCTTTCCATAACCAAGAACCAACTACAGGGCAGCAATTGTTTGATTTTGGAGTTGTCTCTCCTAGAAGAGTGGCTGTCCCCAGCTAACGAGCCTCATCTGTCCGAGTGTTCGGACTCGAGACTTTTCGGTTTAGCAACCAAGAGCTTTACCGACTCGACCACGCCGACCCCTTCTGATGCTTTTAATAGTGGTCCCTTTATTTGCTGAATGCAGGAAACATGATAGCATGTATTTGCTTTGTTTCTGACAACAAATCAGTGCAGTGTTTCTTTCAGACTTTTCTCCGGGGAGGGGGGGGGGGGGGGTAGACACTGTTAAATATATAAAAGTTTATATTTTCTATATAAAGTCCATTTAGTCCGGGGTGGGAGGGACAGTAGAATCTCTTCGGGAGGACCCCCCCCCCCTCCGAAATGATGCCTGGAGGAAACTGAATCAGAGTTATGTTCAAGTTTATTCAGGTGGTGACGATACGTTTCCTATTAAGTAAAAACGAAGCTACATCTCTGCTTAATATCACACTCTAAATAATTATATTGCTCACAAGACAAAGTAATCAGAAATGGTCTAAGCAAGAATTTAAATTGAATGATTTGCTTTAAGGGGTCGTCCACAATTGACGTCACACTCGAAAGGGGGAGGTGGGTCCGTAACTTTGTGACGGTGTGTGATGAGTGGGGGGGGGGTGTTCAGATGGTGTGACGTCACATTATAAAAAGCAATGTTAGAAATCGAATTTTAGCCGTTATTTCGCATTTTAGAAAACTGCTTTAATAAATTGTAATAGGTATAATACTCCATGTTGACAGAGTTCAGACAAGAATTCGAAGAAAATATATTTTAAGAAAAATTCAACTGCAATTTTGAGGGGGGGGGGGGTTGTAGGCTGAGGTGTGACGTCATTTTGGGGGGGGTCTAGCTTTTGTGATAGAGAGGAGGGGGGGGAAGGTAAAAATAGTTTTTACAAAGCGTGACGTCATTTAAGGATGACCCCTTACTCGCAACTTCCCATATACTTCAACCCCCCCTCCCTCCCACCCCGCCCGTCATAACCAACTTTACATAAACAGCCACGAGCGAATGGCGTAACGGGTTTACAGGACGGGAGGTTTTGTGACGTTAGCGCTACGGGTTTGAGGTTATAAAACTATTATCACCGGAAATTGATGTCAGGACATGTAAACACAATGCTCATTCATACACTGCGGTAAATGTTTGTTTCATGGAGCTATCGACGGCGTGTGTTGTAGGAAAGGAAAGAGAGAGGGAGGGGGGGGGGGGTGGTAAGTTAATTCATAACTTCTTCCTTTGGAGTCACTGACAGTGTTTCTTCCAGACCTTTTTCTCCGGGGGGGGGGGGGCACTGGTAAAAATATATGTTCTCTATATTAATTCCATTTTGTTCGTGGGGGGGGGGGGGGTTTGACGTTAGACTTTCTTCCAAAGAGATGCCTGAAAGAAACTCTGGTCACTGAGGAGCAAAGCGATTCAGTCAGCAACACACCCCTTGCCCCTTTCACCGGACTCGGTTTTGGGACAGCTCCAGTAGCGTAGCGAGGGGGCGGGGGGGGGGGGGGGACGGACGGACATATGTCCCCTGGCGACGACCTTAGGGGGCGCCAAAATGGGTTGGAAAAATGAATTGAAAGGTTGAGGGGGTACAATCGAAAGTTTGAGGGTGGTGCTAATCGAAATCTTGTGGGGGTGGGGTGCAAATCGAAAAGTTTGTCCCCGGGCGCCGGGAAGGGTCGCTACGCCTCTGGACAGCTGTCTTTATTTGCGCCCATGTAAGCCCGGGAGCCCTTGCCTCTCCAGCTCGTGGACTGCCTTGGTCGGTCTCCAGTCTCACGTCTTGCGTTGTTGCTATCCTTTTCCCTTCTCAGGTCATGTCCGTTCCACCCCCCCCCCCTCTCCCCATTTGCGTGCTTTAATTTTTTTTTAATGTATAAAATAGTGCGGTGCAGTAGCGCCCCCCCCCCCCCTTCCCCTTACCGAGATATGCCTGAAAAAAAAACTTCATTTGAGATAATATTGAAGAATGCCTTTTTTAATAGTAAGAAAAGAAGCTTTACGTGGTTTTTTGTTTAATTCCCACAAAGCCAATTTTTGTTCGCCCTCGGGATGACAGCGGGCATAGTGTGGTAAAAAAAAAGTTTCAAGAGAAGCGTCCAAGGGTTTTAAAAAACAACACACGAAGCTTTTTTTTTTTTGTTTGCTTGATAGTTTCGTGTTGGTAATAGACTTAAATCCGCACACGAAATCCACGGGAACAGGGCATTACCCCCCCCCCCCTTTCCATTTCCCCCCGGACACCCCCCCCCCCCGACATTCCCCCTGTCAATTACCCCCCGC